AGTATGAACTTTGCCGATTGATTTGCATATAAGCAACAAGTTGTTCTAGTGGAAATGTAGAATTAAGAGGTATAAGGAAGTGTATTTTCTTAGTGAGAACATTAGTAGGAGAGATATCCAAAATGCAATGAAAAATTGTTTAAACCGTGAAATATGAAGATTTTCTCTTTTTAGTTTCCATTGAATTTGTGGCTTATCTAGCTGGAAAACATGTAATGTAATGTATTTGAATCATTTACACTTAGACGGAATATCTCTCAAACATGGATAAAATCCCTGCAAGATTTGTCAGGTCAAAATTTTCAAAGTCTGGTATCCATCATTTTCCATGTTATGGAGCCTATTCTTTTTAGATACTCTCTGATCACAAGTAGAATAATGGGTAGCACATGGACAGCTAATAATTTAGAATAGTGTTTCAGTAAAGAAATTTGAGGACATGGCAAGGAGGGAAAAATCCATCTATATCTCAAAAAGTTCAGAAAGTATCCCCAAATCATACTTACATATTATAATCTAGGATGCCATATCCAGTATTAGAGCTGTCCAATTTCAAAACATGAACAATGTGTTGATTTCTACAAACCATATGCCTACACAAATCAAAAAGAATCTGATATTAACAGAGTTTATACTCCATTGACCTGAAAAGATAAAAATAACTTTCTCTAGTAGATATTTATTTTTAGTGAGAACAGGTAAGACTGTTGTCTCAAAATGTAGAGATAACAATCTTTTCATATATTTGACATAAAAAATCTGTTGAGACCACCAAGCTTGTCCACATGATTCAAGGAATTGTTAACAACAATGATTTCATAAAATAAAGACTCTATAGAAAGAATATATTGTGTCTTCTCCCAAAGCGGATGTACTATTATTTCAGGTAACACACCAAAAATCTCAAAATTAATCCAGTTGCCTCTGTAGGCTCATGATTTAGGGAATGGTAACCTTCTTGAGTAATATAATTTATTTCCCAAACAAATCTATTAGAAATTTAGAGAAAAGTATCATTTCTTGGTGCTTTACAATGGAATGTATGTGAGCATATTTGTCAATTTTATTCCTTATATTCAGTATTACCTTTGTTTCCCTCTTTCACAAGGCATATGTCATTTTCCAAACATTGTGGAATTGTTTGAACCCATATGGTCAGTCAAATAAGCCACAAAAGCTGAAATACAGTGTTAACATTGGATATTTTACTCTTCCCAAAAGAATATCTGTTTTATATCCTTTGACAACATCATGTATTGAGGTGAGTTTTCTGTCATTATAGCCTATGGTGGTTTAAAGACTATGGATCACAGTGAAGAGTACAGATTCCAGTGCAGGTGTGAATAACTCCAAACTTGTTTAACAAGAGAAAGAAAAAAACAGAGTTCCCAGTTTAATTGTTGGGCAGAATTAGCAGGAATGCAAATTATAACAAGCCAGCATTCTCTATGAGTCAATGTACAAGGGGAGATTTTTCTGTGTCCCTTTCATAATTCTCTGTATAGAACTGAGATCTAGGCTATATAGAGTCACATATAGTGTCCTGTGATGCTTCAGGCACCTCTAGAACCTCTCCATCCTGGGATCACAAATGGTCTGGGTTATTCTTGCCTCTACTCTTGAAATGAGTCCAAACACTGCTATTGTGAAAAGATGGTTTTGTATAAATACTAGATTA